GCCCGCGCTGCCTGCACTCCCCGTGCAGCTGGGCAGGGAGGCATTGCTGCTGCTTTCAGCCATACAGGCACTGAAAATAGGCTTTCCACACAAAAGTTAGGACCACACCTTTCCCCACTCTGCCCCCTGCTAGTGGGCTAGTAAATCATACTCCTACCCACAAGCTATAGCTATATGCATGTATACAGAACGCTATAGCTGTACATGGGTACACGCATACTGTCTTACACTGATTATATTATTTATATTAAATATTATTGTTTGTATTACACTAGTGCATAATTTTTATGCTATACTAAAATTGTAGTTTGCCAGTGTAAATAGTTTTGTGTGTGTAGACCAGAGCTGCTGGGGTTTCAACTAGTACCCTACATGCAGCTGGCCAGGTCCCAATGCCCGACTGCACACCTGATTACCCAGAGCCCAGGAGCCACAAAGCCAACCCAAACGAAACCGCAGAGCCAGGATCCAAGCAGTGACACCCATCAAAGCTGTTGCACACACACACACACACACACACAGTCTTCAAGGCCATGTTGCAACCCTGGAGAGCCCTAACCAGAAGCTCTTTGCTCCCCTTGCCTTACTGCTGTCCCTCTGCCATTCTGCAAGGTGCCTGAGCAGTTGCAAGCTCCCTTTGCTGGGCTGAGGGCTCCTGTTCCCCTCCAGCCCTTGAACCATAGGGTGGCCCCAGACATGGCTGGGCTCTGGGCTTGGGAACCTCTGCCACCCCCAGCCCTCCCTGGGCAGCACCTGGCTTGGAGCACCCTCATGACCCACGGTGCTACTTGGCATCGCCCCCCCCCAGCATCTCCTGAGCCTTCAGCTGCCCCCAGAGGCACAAAACAGGATGGTACTAAATGTCAGCTTTGCTCCCTTTCCCATGTTCTCCAGCTCACATCCCACACTGCAACCTGCCTGTCCTGCCCCCCCTCCCCTGCAGCCCCATGCACTCGTTGCCTCCTGTCCCCAAGTATTTTCCTGGTGCTCCCCATCACTGCCCAGTCCCTTGGAACACATCAGTCCTGCTCAACATACTCGCATGGGATAGGAAAAAACAGATGGGGAAGCAGCCCAGTGGTTTTGCCTTCCTTTGGGGAAGCCAAAGGGAAACCACAGCCACCTGGATGCTGGCTGTCAGGGCCACACAAGGCCTCTCCTTCAGTGCTGCAATTTTAATTGAATGCAGTATGGGGTTTTTTTATTATTACTGTTCTTCTTTGCCTCCCTGTGGTGCCCCAAGCACTGAGCTGTGCTGTCATGCACCCTTAGGCAGCACCTCTCTCTCACCCTGGGAGATGGTGCAGGACCTTCAAGGGACCTGTCTCCATGTCCCCACGAGTGGAGCAGCTCAGCCAAGCCCCAATCCCACATGTAGCCCAGGTCTCCCTGCACCTTTCCAGCAGCCCATTCTGAGCAAAGACTTCACACAGAAACACTAAGGCTGGCTTTTCAGCTGGCTCAAATTTTGCTTTGCTTGAGCAAGCAAATGGGACAGCCCTTGGAGGACCCTCCCATGGAGGGTTTCTCCCTGCAGCACCCCACTCAACGAAGGAATTCCTTGCACAGGGTGGAAGAGAGGAGACCAAAACCATAGCAAGATGCTTAAAGGAGCCTGGATGATAATAAACGGCATGGTTGGATGCAACTGCCAACTCAAGAAGTCTCTGAAATACCAAGGTTGGGAAGCAAGAAAGAGCAGCGCTCCTTTCTCTTTATAGCCTTTGCCCAAGCATCTGCCAAGGTCCCTGAGGTCCCTGTGTAGAGGGACTTTCCCTCTCAAAGCCGCTCCCCTGCTCAAGGAGCAGAAAACCACCACTCACAAGCCTCTCAGCAGCTCAGGGAGCTTCCTGAGCATCATGCCAGACAGGGCATTCACACTGCCATCCTTTCTGCCCAGCAGAGCAGGACACAACTACCCTTTCCCACGAAATCTAGCTGCTGTCAGGCAGGGAGATGGTCTCCGCATATGTGCTGGCCGGACGCTGACTCGAGAGGACTCAACGGCACACTTGTGTTTTGCACACTCACAAGGTACCACATGTGGAGCAGGAACATAGGCCAGTGAATGAGAGAGACCAGTTCCTCCCTGTTCATACAACTGGGACCAGTAACAATGAAAGGCCCAACTCCCATTACCACTTGTCAGGCCCAGTGTTTACAACACCCCCTGGACAAAAGCTGAACAGACCCAAATTTGGGTGTGATACATCAGGCAAGGAAATGTGTCCTATGAACAGAGGGGAGTGGGGAAGATGACAGTTTTCTGGCATCCCATTTAATTTATTCCAACTTTATGCAGCTCAGCTTTTCCAAAAGAGAAAAACACAAAAGAAAACCTCCTGATCCCTAAACAAAACAAAAAGTACAAATTGCAGGTGAGAGCCAGCGTGTGCAAGGTTTACATGAAAAAGCAGAGCACCCTCGGATGTTAACAGCACACAGGTAGCATCGTTTTTACAGTTACTTGGCTTTGCATGCAGGTGTGTTTCTTTTCCCTCTTGTGCGCTCTCGCTCCCTCTCATACACATCCACATGCTTATACCCCCACCCCTGACTTTCCAAAGGGGGTCCCTTCCCTGTCTCCTTCCTTGCCACATCCAAACACCTGCAAAGTTGTGAGGGGCTTAATTTGCAGAGACCACCTGTGCCCCTGAAATGTGGGGCCATAAAGGGAGAAAAACCAACAAACCCCAGGGCTCCCTTTCCTCCAGAGCCTGTTGGGCTTTTTGCTTTTCCTTTTCCAGATCAAAGTCCCCAGTGAGGGGCTATCAGCAGTGGGGACCCTGACGTAGTGTTTCTCCAGCGCCGTTTGGTGTTTCCACAGTGTGCTGACAGTCACCATGGGCTGGTCCCATCCCTCCAGGTCACAGTCATGGTCAGGCAGCTTTGCTACCTGGCTCCCACCATGCAGGCACAGGGTGCTCCCTGCCAGCACCCACACTCACCAAGGAATTTCCTTCCTCCACCCTATTCAACCTAACCCCGTGGAGGATCTGGGATCTGGAGGCTGTTTGCTACTCAGAAGCATTTGCCAGAAATTGGGAGATGCTTTATTCCCACTTCCTCCCTCCCCCCACCTTGATTTCATTTAAGGAAAGCCTGAGACTTTTACTGTAAGGAGAGGATTTTCACAATTGCTCTGAAAATGGTATCCATATTAAAAAGGAAAAAAAAGAGGGAAAAAAGAAAGAAAATAATAAAATCTCCTTGCTTAGGCGACGGGGAAGTTATTTATTCTCAGCATCAGTGTGTTCTGTACAGAAAGAAATCAACAGGTGAAATAACAGCAGACACACATCTCTCCTCAGAGTGGCATGTCCAGCGCAAAACCTCTCAGAGCGTGTGGAATCACCTGGATTTAATCTATACAAATGTGTGTGTGGGCAGAGGGGTGCGTGTGTGTCAGGGCCTTTACAAAGCAAGATATATACTGTAATTTACTTACAAAAAAAAAAGAAAAAGTGTGTGCTGAATAGCAGATGCTCACTCCAGTCCCAAGCGAAAATGGAGGGACAAGGGCAGCTGCTTGGGAGTGCAGGTTTTAGATGGGTTTTTTTCCTGTCTAGAAATAAAAAATGAATGAGAGAGAGAGAGAGAGAGAAAGAGAGACACACTCCCTGGGCTTGTTATCCTAAATCTACACAGGCATCCTTCCACCCAGCCCCAGCAAGTATACTTTAGCTCCCTCAGCACAAGCCAATCCTAGGAAATACCGAGCAATAGCCCCTGGAAACCCAAGCGTTCAGCTTCGCCGTCACCCAAAGGCCCCGTCTTCCCAGACCAGCAGCTGGAGCCCGGTTCCTGTGGGGCAGACTGTGCCCCAGCCTAGGAAGGGAAGCATCCACGGGTGTTTTGGGGCAGAGGAGGCCTATCTCATCCTTAGCGCTTTTCCTCACCGATGCCTCTTTGGGGGATGCATCCCAACCAGACAGGCATGCTCCAGCTGGGAAGCTGGGGGCTTTCCTCCTTCCCTCCCTCCCACACTGCATCCCATGCCAGGACCGATGGCTGGGCTGGGGCGCAGGGGACTGGCAGGACGCAAGAGGCAGGCGACAGTATTTACAGTCTTTGGTCTTGGGGAAGGGAGGGAAAGAGGGGGAAAGGGTGGGGGTTTTCCTTTGTTTTCTGTCCCACTCCTGCCCGTGATGGGCGGTTTTGGCCTCGGGAGGTGTTGGGGAGCACATGGTGCTCTGTGCTGGAGGGTGCGGGAAGATGCCGCGAAGCACCAGGGGGGGCAGGGCTGCGGGGTGAGGAGCAAAAAAGACTGGTTCTCTGGCTTATGTTGGGTGAAAGACTATAGGAAAGCAGTCCCTTCTCCTTGCAATATCCCCACCACCCTTCCCCTCCCATTATCCCTCCCCTCCACAGGAGCCAGGCAGGAGGGGAAGGAGGGCAGCACGCAGGACCCAACTCCAGTCTCTTCCAGAGCCTAAAGAGACATGCTGAAACCCATGTAAAATCCAGCACTGGGGCCACGGCGAGCTGCCTCCAGCAACCAGGATCACGTCCATCTACTGGCTCCGCAGGGCATGTGCTCCCCGGTCCTCCTGCTCATGGGCTGTGTAGAAGAGGTGGCACTCGGGGTCCCCACGGATGGTGGGTGCTCCCTGGATCACCTTCCCATGGATGGGGTCCACGCACCAGCACTCGCCACGCTGCCCATTCACCGACATCTTGCACTGCACAGAGAGGGACAGGGTGGGCATTAGGTGAGGAAACGGGGACAAAACCCCCTTCCCAGCCCCAAGAGGCCAAAGCCTGAACACAGGCAGAGCTGGAGTTTCCCCACCAGTTTGGCACTAGTTTGGATTTAAGCAAGATTCAGGGATGCTGCACTCAGAAAACCCAGGGTCTGTGCTGCACGAGGCTGAGGGCTGGATCTCTTCCTCCAGGGGGTGTGCCAGGGTCCAAGAAGCCAATTGTAATGAACCACAAGGAAAATTGTCCCTGAGATGAATTACTCTGTCAGCTGTGGATGAAAGCACCATAGAGTCAAAAATCCCTGGGGGAAGAGGGATGAGACAGACTGACAGGAGGAGCTGTGTAGCTTCTTCTCACCTGCAAATTGGGCTAAACAAACTGACACACGAGAGCAAGGCCCCCCCAGCCAGACAAAATATGTTTCCAAACAGGTTTTCACTGTCCCAGAAAAGAGGTAGGGACTGTGGTGCATCTAGACCTGGACTCCACCCCACCTCCCCAGCCTGGTCTGGTTAGAGAGAAGTTTCTTGCCCTAATGGTTATCATCTACTTCTTGCCCTGGAAGGGCTGCAGGCACTTTGAACCTGATGCTCATCCCTCCATCCCCAGCAGATGCATCTCTGAATAGGGTGTAGCGGGAGACTCAGAGGTCACTCCAGCAGGCCAGCCTCTGCGTGTACGCTGTAAAGCTGAGTTCAAGTCTTTTTCTGCAGCTGGACTGAGGTCAAAATGCAGCCTTGTTCATGGGAATAAAAAGCATGAAAAGAGAGGAAGAAAAAGCCTCCCCAGTGAGAGAGCTCATCCAGGCACTCTCCACCCGAGCACTGGCCCACAGGAGGTGGGAGCAACTGGGAATGCTTTTGTTGGCATCCACTTTCCAGCAAATGAAAAGGAGCTGATGCTCAGCTCTGGAAATGCAGATAGAGGGAAATGGGTATTGCTTCACATTTGCCTTGTTTGCCCTCAACCGGGGCAGAGTTGGGGGGAGAAAAAGAAAGCAATTTTTGTCCCCTTTTTCTGCAGCAGTGACCAGTGTGTGACCCATCTGCACCCTTCAGTGCAGGCTGACTTGCTTCCCAGGCACAAGGAGCAGCAGAGACTGTCTTTTCTTTTGTGGCACACAATGGATTGCTGCATTGCTTAGGCTTGTTCCCCAAACACAGCTCATCTGCTTACAGGAAATTTGCCACTCTGCTCCATCCACCCCTTCCAAGTGTGTTCATGCTGGGGGATGCAGCTAGGCCGTGGGGCTCTTCAGGGGCAGGTGGAGGGTCCAGGCAGGACAGGGTAGAGAGATGGGATGGAAGAAGAAGATCTCAGAGCATCCTACTCTTTTAATGTCTTTTTTTAAATGCTCCTGGTCAAGGGGTAGAAGTAGCCCTGAGAAAAAGGCTTAGCCATGAAAACAGCAGGTTTTCTGGGGTCCCCTCCAAAGGCTCAGTTGCACATAGCCGTAGGGTGTGCTCATATCCAGGTACTATTCACACGTGGCTTCAATCAACCCTGGACAAGCTGGTGTTTTGCTGCCCAAGAGTTTTTTTCCTGGCATTTTTCCCCCATGTCTCAGCTGCTGACACCTGCCGGTTTTGCATGAATGAAGCCACGAAGTCAGAATTCAGACACACATTAAGTCACTTGTGTTCTTTTGGGTCCCATAAATACTTTCAGAAGCATGCTGCACCCCAACTCCTGCCTTGCTTGGAAGGAATCCCCCTCCTGAAGCTGTGGGACCAGGCTCAATTTCTGGAGGAAAACTAGTAAAGCTCACTAGAAACCTTCCTGAATCCAGGAGAAGTGCTTTCTTCTTTCTCTGCAAGACTGGCCAGCGTTCAGCCCTTCTCTGCTTTTCCCCTGTAGTGGGGCCCAGCCAGGACAAGACCTGGCTCAAAGCACAGGAAAATAGACCTGGACAATCATCAGCACTTGTGAGGAAGAAGGGGCTCCAAACTAAACAGATTCTCCATCTCTGGGGTGCCTGCAGCCACATGTGGCTCTCACATCTCCACTTGATATCCCATGGCTGAAGATGCACCTGGGTGTTACTAAACCTGTCCATGCCACCTGTGATATTTGCTGTTTACCCCACACCGTGTGCATGACATCAGCCGAGCCCTGAGTTGCGTGTGTCCTCTGTGGCTGTGCGTGGTAGGGACGCATGCTGAGCCAAGGGCTGCTGCTGGGAGTGCAGCCAGCCCCAGGGCTCTGGCTCTCCCCATTTACCTGTTTGAGATTGTACAAGCCATGCTTGTCACAGTTGGGGATGTGGAGGGAGTAGAGGTGCTCCAGGGGACCTCGCTCATCTGGCAGCCGCATAGTGGAGATGCGTTCCAGGACCTGATCCAGCTCCTGCTGGCAAGGGGTCTGAAAAGAACACAGAAAGCAGAAAACAAAACCAAAAAAATCAGGGCAATGAGACCATTTAATATCAACACTTTGGACAACAGAAACACCAGTAGGGATGAACACCTGTGTGCACCTCCTCATGACACAGGTTTGCCACTGCGTCCTGCTGCAGACTTCACCTGCAGGCCCCCAAAATCAGTGTGCCACACATTCACAGTTGCCGATGTGTGGAGATCCACACAGGGAGACACGCACATCTCTCCCATGTGCCATGTGCCTCACGTAGCCAAGAAACAACATGACACCAGGTCATGGGCCCTGGAAAGACAGAGGAGAATGCCCAGAGATGCTGCCATGGGTCCCACTGGTGGTGACAACTGATGTGAAGACAGACCAGGAGGGTTTCCATCAACATAGCGCAGATACCACACCTGTGAAGCAGTTTTGGCCCAGAAGTGTAACTCAAAGCATGCGAGACCTCATAGAAGTAGAGGGTAAGCCCTGGGAACAAGAGCATCCAGCAAAGCCAGCCTCTGGAGGCAGCCCTCTTGCTCCACAGCAGCCCCAAGCCAAGGCTCCCAGCCAACAGAATTCAACCAATTCTGATTGAATTATGTCTGATGTGAGTTGGAGCAAGTCCACACCTCTCTGCTTTTGCAGTTGCTGGAGTTTTTTTCCCAAAGGAGCAGCAATAGTGTGGGAGCTCTTTAAGTTGATGGTGCCTGCACCTTATTTTGAACCACTGCTTTGCCTGTTCCTTGGAGGGGATGAGGGCTCTCTTTTAAAGTCCCTTTCTGTTCCTACACTCCCCAGGTATAAATACCCTATATGTTTACAGAGATATGTATAAGGACCTTTTGGGGTGGCTTTCCATCCTCATCCCATCTAGTTGCCTTGACCAAGCTGCCCACTAGAGGGAAATCATGGCCAAGGACTGGAGGGCAGAAAGACAGGGACAGGGAATAAGGGGACAGGGAGGACCCCGTGCACTCTCTCTCCTATGTGAAAGCCCCACGGCCCATCCTCGGGGGCTCTGCCCCCTCCCCCGCCCTCAACCTGGACCGGGCCTGCCCTGCAGCAGGCAGACAGCCCCCCCCCAACCAAATCCCCTTGGGCCATCCCTGGCACTTGCTTAGGGAAAAAGGGTGAGAAAGCTGGTCTGCAGGCAAAGGGCAAGCTCGCACCCCTGCAGAGGTAGGTGTCAGCCCCCCTTCCCCAGCTCTGCTGTCAGGAGGTGAAGCTGCAATGAAAATAACACCTCCTCGCCAGCACATCAAAGTTCATCAGATGGTGTGTTCGGCCCCAGCTTCAGGCCAAAACAAACGTTTGCTTTTCCTTTTTTTTCTCTCCCCCCTCCTCCCTTTTTTCTTTCTCTTTTTTTTTTGTTAAGACAGTTCGTTGCAAATGTCACTAAGGCTTTTGCATTCAGCGTTTCCCCAGCGAGCCCTCAGCTGCCTCCGTTAGCTCCCCACGCCCCCCTGCCCTCTCACCCTGCTCGTCGACAGCCGTGACTTCTTCGAGTCCTCATGGTTGTGATGGGGTTTGCCAACTTTGCCCATCTGCCGCTGCTGCTCATTCACCTTCTCCCTCATAACCGCCAGCTCTTTCATGCCCGTCTTCATAGGCTTCCTCCCGCCGGCTCCGCTCAGGATCCCTGTGGTGCCATCCACGTGGTTCTCAGCAAGGATGCTCTCGGACCGGTCATCGCCATTATCTGCAGGAGATGGGGCAGACAAGGAAAGGGTCAAGCTCAGCCAGGCACTCTCTCACGTGTTCAGCCCATCCTGGATCGTGTTCAAGCATGGCTGGTTACCAAGCCATAAAATCTTTGCATGCAAAAATTTTAAATTGCATTAGCCCTTTCATCTGGAAGGTGAGAATAGATCCTTTCATTCTGGAGTTATTACCACACTAAAAGACAGTTTAGAGAGCAGGGGAAATCGCTGCTGGAGAAGTGCTTTCTGGTTTTTCTTTGACCTTCTAAATTACTTCCCAAAGAATGTAATTTTCCCATCAGAAGTCCAGTTGGGTTAGGGATGCCAAGTGTACTTCGGCTCCAAAACTTAAAACCACAGTGATTAGCAACAATACCTTTAGTCCATCTATCATCCCCCAGAGTATCTCCAGGAATACTTACTCAGTATTAATGTGCTAAAATAAATTCTCAGGCCTGCTTTCAAAAATACCTTGCCTCTGTTTTATGACCACCCTAATTTCCCTCAGAGATCCTGCCATTTCAGTGATCATCCTTGCATTACCATCTTTCATACATTTGTCATACAGTGCATTACTCATTCAGCTTCTACCTACTTCTGCATTTAGCCACTTCTGCTGACCGTGGAACAGACCCACATGTCCTGGGGCCCAACTCTGCCACTGCTGCAAGCCGCAAGACCCCCAGCTAATTTGGGCATTTCAAAATCAGTTATCAGAAATCTGGGGATAAACACTGGACTTCTTCCATCCCCTCCGCTCTCTGCTTTGTGCATTTTCCCAGTACACTGGGTACCATTTCTGAGAGCAATCCTCGCCAAAGTAGGACACAATGGTCACGATGCTGCAGACACCAGTCCCTTCAGACTTTGCAGTGGCAATGAGGACAGATCTCAATTCCTCCTGCTTGCTCCAGAAGCCCAGAAGGTGACAGCTGACCCCTCCTTGGTGCCTGGTCTGATCTGGCTGAGCAAGCATGTCTATCACTGTCACTGGATCTAACATTTAAGCTGGCCCTGCTTTAAGCAAGCGCTTGGATGAAGACCTCCAGAGGTCCTTTCCAGCCCAAATTATGGTTCAGCCTGTGCACGCACATCACCTCTCACCGCAGTAGCCCAGGCTAAGTGCATCTCTGTATGTGTCTCTGTATATAGGAGCTCTTCAGCAGTGACAGACCAGGTCATTCTGGTCCTACAGTGGTGACAAAAATGAAGTGTCTTTTAGCATATGCCAAGGAGGAACAGTTGCACCCAGCCTCACAACATCAGCATTCTCTCCAGCACCTCTGATTTCAGCTTTCCAGCACTCCAGAACTCAGGCACTTACATAGAAGTAAAGAAATCACATCAAACAGTGCATGATGGAAATAAAGCAGTGCTTTAGCTCGTGTAACAATGCTTAATTTATGGACCTCTCCTGCTTCTTGGAAGACCAAGCATGCAGAGCATTTACAGATTTTTAACATTTCCTTTTTTTTCAGAAGCTGCATCATGATATTTTGTTAGAGCATAGCTCTATTGTCATGACAGAGAGTGAAAAATCATAATAGCAACTGTTTTATTTCCTGCCACAGCTTTCCAAGCTCTTTTCAGGTGTTACAATCCCAGGCTCACAGATGAGAAACTGCAAGAAGAGTTTTGCCTGAACTTACTCAGCAAATGTGAAGCTGCCTGCAGACTGATGGCAAGAGAATGGTCCAAGTGGGCTGGATCAAAGAGCCACTCCAGCCCAGCATGCCATCCACAAGAGACCATCAGCAGCTGCTTGGGGACACACGTCAGAAAGACCATTCCCAAACTGTGCTGCAGACCAGCAGCAAAAGCACTTTCATGGCTAGAGACTGCATCTGACCCACAGGATTTAAAAGCCAACAACAGACCCATCCCTCAACGGATTTGTCCGATATCCTTTTGAACTTCCTCACCATTTTGGCCTCAGATTTCCCAACACTGGGATCATCCCACTTCCCAGAAATACTAAATGCATTTGGTCTGCTTTGGGAGCAACTGAAAAGCAAACACGGGGCAAAACCAATCTGGCAAAGTCCATGACTTTCCTCAATACTGGTTCCAGATGAGAACTGGGACCAGGTTTGATAGCCAGATGGGCGAGCTCAAAGTCTGGGTTGCTGCCTGGCGATTGCCGTCTGGCTGTCATCCTAGAAGCTGGACAAGGAATATTTTAAGCAGGAATCTTCTGTTTATACACCAGTCTCCCTGTTAATTAGAAACACATAGTGAGAAGAGAGAAGGCCATGAGGCCGCCCTTCAGACAGGATCAAATGAAAAAGCACTGTGCAAGAGACGGGCAAGGCTGCCCAGGCTCTGATCCTCAGTGAGCTTCTTAGGAAGGTTTTAGCCTTCTGACATCTTTTGTGCTCCTCTCCTTGGTGTCTCACCAAGCTGTCAACAACAGTAGAAGAACAAGCACAGCAGCAGAGCAGCATCTCGGACACGTTGCAGTGCCCCACTTCATTCAGAAAACCAATGGTACAAACTGACGGAAAAGCAGTAAACTGGAAACAGTGCCTTCCCCATCGATTCTTGCTCCTTCTTGCCTCCAACTAAAATATATAGACATCTGCCCAAATAAGCACTGCGCTAGTAAATGAAGGCGAGCTGGTAAGCCTCTTGTCGGCTGATTCATTCACAAAACCTGCTTCGGATAATATTTTCACTCATTTTTCTCACTTTCCAATGCTAACAAATATCAGCCCAAAGAAAACCACTGATGGGAGCAGAGTGTGCAAGCCCATGTGCACAAACACACCCGAGGACAGAAGAGATTGGTCTTGGCTCCCTGGGCACCATCACGGGAGCAAGCCTGGAGCAGAGGCCAGGAAGGTCTAGCTGCAATCAACTGCAAGCTCTCCTCTCCAAGGCCAAGCCAGCCACAGTGAGCCATACCTTCACCCTGCTGCCAAGCTTGACTGATCCACCTGAAGCTAATGCCAGAGCCTCATCACGGCTTTTCCCTCTTCAAATCTGGTGCTGTTATTAGGATGAGCTCTCTTGACCTGGAGCTTGCAGGGATGGCTCAGTCACTGGGGAAGGGAGATGGGACAGGAGAGGTTGTCCCCATGTACAAAGCACTGGTGTTTCCTTCGTGGATGAGTTGCATGCGTGGGAAGAGGCTGATCGTTAGGTGCGATGGACCACATTTCAAAGAGCATTGGGCTGGGTAGCAACGATGAGAGTGAAGACGTCAAGACTCAAGATCAGGAGAGCACAGAGCACGCTCTGAGCCTAACAATGCCTTTTACAGCCAGGTAATGTTTTTCAAACACTGACCAAAAGAACTGAGTTGTGCGTGCTTGCTTATGACTACCCATGAACCAGTTAAGCCACCCACCAACCCTACCGGCATAGGATGGGCAGGTATGCAATTGCCTCAGATATACAACCCTAATCTGTTTGTCATCCTAGCAAACGCCCTTTCACTGACCAATTTCAATTCACACTAAATATATCTGTGAACGGAGTGGTGCCAAACTCCAAAACAATTATGTTTTATAGTTCTTCCATTTTCCTATGGCATGTGGAAAACATCTCCTGTGCTATTTTGGATCAAAAGGTAGGCTTTGTGCAGGGCGGGACAAGTGTGGCAGGAATCAAAGCAGATAGCTGAAGTTCTCCTAAACACTGATGTGGAGCCCATGAAACACCTCTCTCCACGCCAAGAAAATGATTTCTTTATGGCCTTTTTCAAGGAAAATTCCCATTGGCTTCAATGGGGCGAGGACTTGGCTGAGGTGAAAGCGTGTTCAAATGGCCATCAGCTAACGTCTGTAGAATGCTGCACAGTCTCGCCAACATTTTCAAAAGAGGCTACCAATTTCCAGCACTGAAATTTTCAGGAATGTGGTTTGAGACCTCTAGGCACCTCCGCCGAGACAGCTGAGAAAAAGAGCGGCTTAAAAACAACCTGCCACTTCCAGGGCTACAAGAAGAAAGAAGCACCACCAAAAAAAAAAGGCAGCTGCCTGAAGTTAAAAATACATCTTTATCCCTTTGAAGAGCCCTGAACCATATCTGGACTGAGGGACGGGATTGAGCCAGTAGCACTCACTTAGCATGAGAGGACCAGCCTATATGACAGGGAGTATGCACCATGCCAAGGATTGCAGCCGCCCTCTCCAGCGCTGTTCTCTCTCTGCACTTGCTTTCTTTCGATGACAGCTTGCCCAGAGGGTTTCACATGCATTTGCTTATCTGCCCAGGGTGTTTGCATAGCGCTTAAGTGCTGATTAAGGTCCCAGACCCACAGAAAGTTTCACCCAAGTGGCTTTCAACACCCTGCCTGGAGCCCTGCTAGCCTCAGGTCCCAGCTGTGTCCTGGGCTGGACTGGGCTTACATCTCCGTCCCACAGCAATCGCAGCCTCCATTGGCCAGCATTTTCCCTCTGAAGACATCAAAGTGCTTTGCAGTTCATCAATTACCCTGGAGAGAGAGGTGTTCCTCCTGGGTTGTACACGATAAAAACAAAGGCATGGAAAAACTTGAGTGTTGCCCAAAGCCACGCAGGGAATCAATGAGCAAACCCAGGAGCCTGCGTTCCTGCCCTGGCACCGCACCATGCACAGGGGCAAGCACATTTGCGGCTGCCAGAATGCCATATCCAGAGAGTGATTTTTCACCCCAAGCAGTGTTGTCTGTTTTCATCGAGCTTTTGGGTTTTTCCTCTAACACTTTTAGCTTCTTGTGGCCCCAAGTTCTACCATTTCAGGATAATTTAAGTACCTGTTCTGGGTTTTGCTTGCCGCTTTTTATTTTAAGGAGCAGAGCTGCCTGTCCTAGGCTGCCACGATCCCAGCACTTGTCCTCCGCAGCCTGAGAGCAGACAGGGCCTTTAAACCTCACCTTTAACATGCACAACAGCCATGGCCAAAGAACTACTTGCAGGAAGGTGGGGAAGGAGCAGACAAACCCCGACTGCAGCCCCGGTGACCTCTGCCTCATCAGTCTGCAAAGTATTTCTAGGAGAGCCCTGGGCAAAGGTTCC